AGAGAACCAGTTTGCCTGAAGGTCTGAAGTATTACACAAAGAAGGCAGAAAAGGGAACAGGCCGGTTAGGTAGGAATACTTACTGGGTACAGAAGGTAAAAAAGCAAACTAGTAGAAAAAAATATTTTAGTTCCATAACGAATACCTCAGTTTTAGTTCAGTATTTAACTTGATTGTAATTTAAGTTCTAGAATTATAGATAGTTCTTATTCTCACTGTATTTGCTCTAATTCTGTCTTTTTATCAACTATGGAAGTTACAATATTTTCTTGGCAATGTTCTCTATGTAATTATTTTTAAGGTTATAAGGCAAGTTTTGGGTATTTGAAATAATATAAAGTATTTCAAATATTTTATTAAAATATTTATAGATTTAAATACAAAAATATTATACATGCAAAGCACAGTTAATCCCAATTACTACATTGTAGCTGATAACTTAGTATCATTTTCATTGTTTACTTGGATTAGGTATTCAGTTACACTTCTGCCAAAAATGGTATTACATTGTCACCTTACTAAAGTGTACACCATTCAGTCCTAAACCTTGTAATTAGGAAAAGGCTGAGGAGGGCAAGACAATTAGATAAGAGGTTAGCAGAAAAGCACAATCCAAGTGCGCCCTCAACACTAAAATAATATTCTAATAGGTAAGACTTGAAAATGACTGGTAAGTTTTCTTTAGCTTTTACACAAACATTCTGCAAAGGCACTTATCTGTAATACTATTAAAACGGTGAGATAATCAAAATAAAGGTAAAATAAAATAGGTAAATAAAATAGGCATATGAAAAAGGTAAATAAAAAGGTATATATTCAAGAAAGGTAGCACAGCACAAAACCTAACAAAAATTATATAGTGATACATACTGTATATCTGTCACAAACTGTATATATGACACAGCATGTCCAAAAAAAGGCATAAATAATGGGACGTTGAACAGATACACATCCTCAAGTTTACACTCCTACTACTGAAAACTAAACATACTCAAAATACATTCTTCCTTGGTGATGAGTCCTAAAGCTGATACCATTATTTGAGACAATTCTTGTAGGCACTAGAAAGCTAATGTTTCAACTGTTTTATCTTGTCCTGAGTAGGCCCTGGTGTACCATGTGCAAAAAGATATTTCAATACTGTAAAGCATCTCAGCAACCAAATTACATATGCACATAATTAGCTGTCGCTATCTACTTCAAAAAGAAAGTGCAGTAGATACCAATAGCTAATCAGATCAAACCTTGGATTCTCCAAGGCAGATGTCAAACATTCCCAAGTGAATGGGACAAGCCTTTACAAACTCCCAAGGTCAGAAACCAGATTTCTCAGTACCACTGCCCATTCTGTAACAGCATCATTTGAGTGACAGTGGGGGGGGGGAGGGGGAGAACAGCAAAGGTGATTCTTGAAGAGTACTGTCTCAAAAGTCCTTATTACTTAGCCCTCTACATTGTCCCCTGAGTTAGTTATTAGCCTGTGCTGGCTGATAAGAGGAAGGAAAGACAGAGCAAACTGCTATAAAGGCAATTTGATATTAAATGTATATTAAGCATAAGCCTCAATTTGAGCATTACCGGCTTAAATACTTACAGTGACAGCTCAGCATACACAAGTGAATTTCAAATGAAAGTTTTTAAAACTTCTCAAACAGTTAAACGTAGGTCTAAGAAATAAAACTTACTGCACTGTCAGTGGCGCCTTATCTGTGGCGTTAACTAACCAGTTATAAAAAAAATCTCAGGCTTCCTTCATCCTATAACCTCAGAATATTTTTGGATTTTGCATGTTAGGAAAATATACCAAATATAATTGATAAACTATGAAGTCCATTCCATTTTTAAAGCTCCTGCATATACACTGTAATAATTACATTACCAAATTTCAACATTAAGTAACTGAAGTGGAAGATAAGGAAAAAAAATGCATAATCTTACTTTCTCTGTAGTTACAGTAAGAGATGGAACCAAGGATGGCGAGGACTCCGACTGCTTCTTGTATTTTTGCTTGTGTTTATCTTTCTCTTTATATTTCTAGAAGTTATAAAAGAGAATATAATCCAACTTCAGGTTCATCTTTAACACAGCTCATTTTAAATAACATGTCAAATGTCATCAAAATTTTAGATAGATAATATTTTGAAATATTTTTATAAACAAGATTTCCACTAAAATAGCACTAGACATTATCATAAGAGTAAATCAAGTATTTAGGCTTGCTTTCAAAATTCTTCAGTTACAATTGGGATCTGTAAATCTACTACTGTTAATGTTATCTATCTTGCCAATAACCAATCAATATAAGACACTGCATTAAGCACAGAGCTGTAACTTCTGCTTTAGAGGTCTTACTGTATGTGCACACCAAATATACTGCACAATAGTATTTTGTTGCAATATTACTGTAAGTTAATGTAAGGCAAATTATTAACCATTTAGAAATTTAGGTTTGGGTCCACTACTGGCATCTCCAGGCATATTAGTGTGAAACATGATTTAGATTTCATTCCCAGAAAAGCGTACACAATTTATGTACTAAATGAGTTAATCAATTTTCAACATTAAGCTGAACAAAACATCAAAGTTGGGAAAAAATAAAAGTTAAGTCTCCTTTCCAAAGAGGCTGAGAAAAAATTATTTCCATTTTTTCCACACTATGAAGCATTGGCACATTGGCTAAAATTGTGCAACCAGAGAAGAGAATCATTTCTTAATCTAGAACTTTTGCAATATAATACCAGCATTTCCATACTAGTAAAATTCAGTTCTTAGTGGATTACAGAACCAGACTCACATCGTACTTGTTTAAATAATTTGGTAGACAAATACAAAAAAAACACAGAGTCCGATACAAATTAAGAATACAGCAAGAGTTCAATAGTTTCACCAACTTTATCAACTGTAATTCTAGAGAACCACGTTTCCCTTAACATTATGCTTTATTCACATAGTCCACATGAGTAGACACAGAGCAATTGCAGGTATTACGGAAGGTTTCTTGCAGGAAACTTGCACTGAAATGTTTTACTGCTTTAACTACTACATATTTGTGGAATTTTTGCGTATTCATACAAAATCCAACAGAACAGTAAAATCTTAGGGCTGTTTGTTCAGAAAGCTACCAAAAAATGCATACATATGCATTTGACACATGGGGGGGTTTCTCAAAACTCCCTTTGCATTAATAAAATATTTGAGTAGCCTGAAAAGATGAGGAAGACAATTAGAAGGTGTAAGTCTGAATCGACATATTGAAACTCAGCAACTGTTTTTAATTTCGAAAAGGATCCATGCTGATCTTCCCACGAGTACTAAATGATAATTCAGGCCCCAGAAAAAAAAAAAATATATATATATATATACACATACATAATTCATTCAACAGTGACTACACTACCACTCTTGCTACGTACTAAAACAACATGTAGTATTTGTATACAAAATTCAGTTATCGCCAACTATCAGTTTTCTATTTTAGTCACAATGGAAGAAATATGAGAAACGTGTGTCGTGGAAGTGGTCCGAGACAACGGGTTCTCAAATCCTCTTAGAGCAGAATCAGCTACTTGACAAGCTGTATACCAAGCTGAAAACAAAACAGATTTTTCCATCTTTATAAACCATAAACACCAGCCAACTGATTTTTTTTTTTTTATCTCCTTGTCTCTAGCTAGCTCCAAATCCACTTAACTCAACCTATAACCTAGTTTAGCTAAAAAGGACATATGGCTTAGCCAAGAAAATAAAGTACCAAAGCTATCTTCACCAAAATATCATGCAAAAACATACTTGCTAGAATACAACATAGAAAGTCCTTTTGCTTGTTATACATTTTAAAACTCAAAGGAAGATCCAAGAGACAACTCTTCAAAAGGCTGATGAAAATTTCTCATTTCCTTTTTCCTACGCAGAAGTGAAGTTTTTTTTCTAGTGTGCTGCTTAGCAGAGTTTGCTCTTTTATAACAAAAACGTGCATGCGTCATAATAAAGAGATGTCACAAGGCAGGACTCTGACCGTTTAAAACCTAATAAAGGTGAGGTGGGGTGGGCTGAGGTAGGGTAGGGGGTAGGGGTGTGCGGGTGTGTGTCTCCCTCCATCTGTCCATCCTTTTTTGGAGGACTGAAACCGCACTGCACAGTCTTCTGGATAATTTCTTAAGTGCAGCAATCCCAAAAGTGCTACCCCATGCCGTCAGAAAACAAACAGGTACCAGGAGAAAATAGAAGCATCTGCATTGAGACTCCTGCATTACCCATCAAATTTGTTGCAAGCCCATACAAAGACACTGGACTCAGAAGCCTTTCAGTATTAGTTATTCAGTTTACTATACTGTTTGTGTTCGTGTTTAAAGAAACTTCCGTAATGATTTCACTGAACCCCAAACAACATCTTTCTTGAAGCCTCAAGAAAGAGGTTACAAAACTGAAACCAAGCCATTACCTTAGTTGCCATAACTTTCAGTATTTTTATTAAATAAATTCAAGTCACCCTAAAGAATTTTTTTATTTACAGTTGTGGAATTAAGAGGCAATGATTTTAGCACGCTTTAAGGTGAGCTGCATAGCAACATTAGTAAACAGTAGGAAACATTTATATGATCTTTTATGGAGCCTGTTTTACAACCTCCTCTGCAGGTTTCCCAGTGTTCTTTTACTTCCAGTGTTATTTTTGTCTGAAAGGCAAAGAAATGAAGAATCCTGACCAAAGGAACAGCCGAGAGGACTTCAAATTATATTCTGTAATGTAGTGAAATCACTTTGATACTAGTTTCTACACAAAAAGGTGTGCCATCTTTTGAGAAAAAGGAAATGAAGGTGAACACAAGGGAAGAGCGAGGGGAGCAGGAGGGAGAGCATGAACTACTCTGGAAGGACCTGGAAACAACATGCTTTAAGTCCTACAAAGTGAAGCATTAGCAACCACAACAAATTCTTCTCCCAGATCCGAAACAACAAAAATCCCAAAGTTGCTAGAACAGTTTTCCAAGGGGCTCACAGATGGCACTGTCAGACGTCACTCAAGGGCACTCGAGGGGTATCCCACCCAAAGGCCCTTTACATAGGCTATCTCATCCACAGGAAGTCTGCTGTCCTTGATTCCATATTCATTCCCCCTTTTAGGTTCCACCTCCTCTGATAAATAACCTCTCCTTCCCCCCCTGCTTTTCTTTTTTTCCTTTTTAAGTAAATTTCAGAAGATATATATGTCTCAATGTGAATTAACTCCAGATGCAAAAAACATCAAAGTGGAGAAATTTTCACCGCAGGAAGTCCTTTGAAAGGAACGTTCAGGTTTTATACCTATTACAATAAAAGTTTCAACAACAACCTGCTGAGATGAAGAGACTGAGCTCCCACAAAGTGACTCCTTGCAGTCGCACCCTCTTCTCATCATAAAGATGCAAAGAGGGCATAGTATTAGAGTTCTGAAATATTATCTACTTTTGAATCCAGAAAAGGAGTCACAGATGGACATGAATTCTCATCATGTTTAACAAATATGAAAACCTTCAATCAAGTCAGTCTCAAAGGATATACAAAGTAACTATCTTTCTCCGTACCAGAAAAAGCAGCAACAAACAGTTGGCCCTTCACGGACAAATCCTAGCATGCTTCACCTTTTGTAAAAGCTCCTTCTCTGATCAGACATAGATCCAGAAGAAAACCAATTCAGCAGCACCTCACTTATGTACTCAGACTTCAATATCTAAGACTCGTAAGTTCAAATATGCCAAACATACATTTTAAGATAATTGCAATCCTGATAAATGCAATGCTACGCTCTGTAAAAGCTGGAGTTCAGCAGACGCAACACTCTAAGGAAGGTTATATTAATAAATACAGTGCAGACTACTAATCTAACAAAACAAACTTCAATCCTAGTTCACAAACAGGGTAGCTCAATGGGCCAGATTCAGGTAGTTCCTGAAACCTTTTTTAACTGTAAGAAAAGTAAGGCCTGTTTGCCCTCCAACCATCGAGCAAGCAGCTATAATATTACTGATCCAAGATGTTCAAGGGCCCTGATTTATGAAGCATAGCTAAATACCAACTACAAAATAACCAGAGGTTCATGTGTTAAGATTAATCAGAAAGTTTTACTTATCACTGGGGAGCTCATTTTTTGGCTTTTGTTTCTCACCTACTAAGTTATATAACACCTTCTTAATTCCAGTAATTACAGGCTGCAAGATAACAAAACAAATAGGGTACAAGATTTTTGAAATACTACAGCACTTCCTGTACCTTATTCTCTTCGGAAAAAAGGAAAAGGCAGAGCACACGCCAGTCATTTCCACTTCTTCCACAAAGACCAAATCTGCAAAATTATTAAATAGTACAGTTTGGCTCCAACTGTTCAATTCTTTTAGCTGATTTATATCTTGGGTGAATCTAGATCACGGAAGATCAGCGCCTGCTCACTCATTTTGTTTAATATCCTTTCAGAGGAAACATCTGTCATCAACTACTGAATGAAAATAACATCTAACCCATCATATTAAGAATAAATGTCTAATTTTATTTTGGCTCTGATTTGTTCCCAACAGAATAAATACGTTATCACATATATCCTTCCACATGTTCTGGACCTCAGTGTCTGGAGAGGCTGAATAATGCAAGTGAATGATAACTTTCCAATACAGATGGAATGGATGAGTCCAGCCTTCCTGGTGTGCTATTATTAATTCATAATATTACCATGCGTAAGTATCATTTAAGTTGTTCAATGTCTGTTTTCACTTATTTGCTGTTAATCGCACAGGTACAGCTTTCCTCAAAGAGGTTTCCACAGTACTTCATAACAGAGTTTGATGAAATGAAGTTAGGAATGTAATAGTTCACCATTACAAAGGGAAAAAAAAAAAAAAAGATCCCTCTCAGCCTTTCAATCAACAGTTCCAGAATGAAAGACACTTGGGGTCCAGAAGTTTCACGTTCAAATCCTATTTTATCGCATTCTGGCAATAGCCCTAGCTCTTCACCTGTCTAGTATTTTACACGGTATAAATCACAGCGGGAAAATTAAATGCAGT